ATCCATACATCCATCCATGCGTACATACATACATACATACATACATACATGATGGGTCCGATGGCGCAGCGCAGAATCGAAGTAGCTTCTTTATCGCTTGCAAATGATATTCAGATATATTCAGTCCCATAATGTATGGCAATGATGGACGTCTTGGTAGCGGCGGGTTTAGGGTTTGGGGGATTGAGGTTAGGGTTCAGACTCCGGGTGCACGGTGACCATGCAAGGATGGGCGCAGATCACATCATCAACCATCGAAACGAGCTGAAGAGTCAACTGGCGGAGGCTCCGTGGCCACTACGTACTAGAATTACGGTAGTCATTACGGTAATATACTATACGACCAGAATCTACTATAGTATACTACAATATGCTATGATACACTATAACGCACTGTCATATACTATAGTATAATGTACTTTTCCATGACATACCGTATCCTGGCTTAAAGTGGATTTTGGGTTTCTGGTTTAGGGGATAGTCATCGACGTCGAGTCTGCCAGGATAAGTGGCCAAACTTGGTGCGGTTATGCATACAGCTTCTATACTCATACCTGACTGTACTTTGACTACGCAGACATGCCGATGATGCAGCGCCGGGGGGGAGTGTGGTTGGAGGGATTCGGCAATGAGGATTTGTTTTCTTTTGGTTTGAGCTGACGTTGTACCAGCCGCCGTTGACTTGGCATTCTGGCTTTGACGCGAATTGAGCTTTGATGGCATTGACTTGCGGCACTCCAGTTCAAATCATCGCCTTGCTATGTATCAAAGGCTGTTTTGGGCTCTTGATCTTGCGGTTTAGAGACCAAGCTCCACAGTGGCTGAAACCTTGTGCAAGTCTAGCAACGCATCGAATAATATGGCACGCCATGCAACACTACGCTCTTTGTCTGCAGTGTGTTCTACGGTACGATACAGTGCACGATGCTGTGCTGCACTCTTCCCTACTCTACACTACGACACATGAATTAGCTAGTGTTTGTCCTCTACAGCGACTCTACAGCTCTATTGTCTCTACTACACTACATGCCTCTCTACGGTGCTATGAATCACTGCATGCACCCTGATCCATTATGTCGAAGTACATTTCCCTGACGCTACGGATTGAATCCACAAGACTACGTGCCGCCCCTCGCGCCCAAGGCAAAACATCCTCCCCAACCATTGGCTCAGCAACTTAATTCTCGCACCCCGTAAACAAACAAAACACGAAACAAGTCAACGCACACGACGGCACATGCATGTACGCAGATATATGTTTACATATGGTGTGTGTGTATACGCATATCAACATGCGCATACACAAATTATGCCCACATATAATCACTTGCATATACATACCAAGCCATTCATCCCCAGGTTGGCTATCCTACTGTCGACTACCTCTTCAACGCCCATGAAAATGATCGTCTTGGCGAGTTGATCCAGCTGCTTCCTGGCTTTCTGCGGGTTGTCCGGTCCTTGCATACGAACAGAACAGTACAGCACCATATTGAAGTTTATTGCAATCGAAGCATATGCTATCGTAGATGCCGTAGCATTAGCTCGCATTTTATCTTCGATGATGTTCGGTTAGTACGCGCGAGAACTCACCATGGGAATTCCCAGACTCTGATTTTCACAGCAATCCTTGCAGCTACAGGGTTCGAAGGGTTTGAAACATGAACCCACTAATTAAGTCTTAACATTTAACATTCCAACATCAGATGATGTTGTCTACTTTGATGTGCCCTGGGGGTATGGTGGACAAGGTAAAGGTCGAGACATGTCGCTCGAGGGTTACATATGACAGAGCTTGCAGCTCCAGATTTCTCTCCGTGATCCTGCCATTCGAAGAAGACTGTGGACGTTCTGGTGCAGGTAGCCAACATGCCAAAATTTCGTGGTACCTGGCGATGGTATTTCGTGGTTTTCAGTAGTGAAAAATGCCAACCAGGCCACGCGCTGTAGTTGCTCCGAAGGATGGTTTGAACAGGGGCCAAGACAATCCCGACAGATAGAGATTTCCTACCCGGTACCCTTCTGTGAGCAACACTACAGCCTCGCAAGGTTGAGCGTGGACGGCAAAATTGCCATCACCTTCAACGCCAGCCGCGAGCATCTTGAAACAGTTGACTTCCAAACGATGTGGATGAAGCGACAGTCTTTGGTGCACACGTTTATGTGCATGGCGTTCCAAAGCGGGAGAAATAACTAGGCCCAAAAAATTAGTCTTACGAAAGATGTCAACATGCTTCGTGAGGGAGTGTTAATACGATTCGTCCTGGATGTTGCTAAACCCATCCATGCAACATTTCAGGGTGGGTGCAAGCAGTTCCCAATCCCCTTGAACGAACTTCGTTGGATAGAGGTGAGCAGCAGCAGCAGCAGCAGCAGAGGTTTAATTCCCTTCAGGTTCGGGCGCGCCATGTTCGATGCGAATCCTGAGATGGTGGGCGGCGTAATGGCCTCTTGCGCCAAGCTCGTAGACAGCGGCATCATCAAATCCACAGCGACTACGAAGTTCAAGAGTTTGACGGAGATCAAGGAAGCCATCAAGGTTCAAATGTCTGGCAAGGCCACGGAGCAAAAGGGATAGCAGGTCTGTTACAGGTCGAAACATGTCCAAACCCGTTGTGGCTTGCCCTGAGCCCATATGAGTTGTGAGACTGTCTGACAAGGCCATGGGGAAGATCGTGCTGACCGTGTAGATACGGGCTACCTGCGATGCGTGGAGCTGAAGTCTCCGCAATTTGTTTGGCAGACCCTCCATTGCAGTTCTTTTGGCTGCCTAGTTTCCCGTTACAAGGCCTTTTCCACACAGCCGGAGAACTTCATTGGAGGGTCAAGGTAAGTTTTGACCGTCCGTCATCGACGGAATCGACGGGCGTTTAAGGGGAGGGTTTCAGATGCACAAGCTCTCTGCATGCTGTTCGGTCCTCGAAATTCCGGGCCGACCAGTCGACATACCCCCCCAAACGTAGGCACAGCAGCTTCTTGCATCCTCGATTCAGCGACAACTTACAGCCAGAAAATCTCACAGCGACAAAAGGATCTCCGTGGAGTTTGCATGAGCGGTCCGTACTTTCAACTGTCAGGGGCTTCGGGAATAGGATTTGGGATTTCTGGTTAAGGGTGTAGAGTTCCTCTGCAGTATTCACTCCATGTACGTACCGTAAACACAGATGCATCTAGGTTTAAGCACATGCATATAAACATATCTTTACATATGCATATATATATATATATATATATATATTTATTTTTTTTATGTGTACACATTCAGCTAGTTAGCTATTTGTTCACACGAACAGACAGACAGAGAGAGAGGGGGGGAGACGGTAGACATGGGTAGTTACCGAAAGCAGGATTAGTCATTAGTCTTTTCAATCCCCACAAGGAGTCACGCCACTTTCAATGTCCCACCCGGGACCCAAGGCTTCGAGAAGGAGAAATGAACCTTGACTTGTGAACCCGAAGCCCGGACCTTTAACCCCTACCAGTAATCCCCCCCAGAAGTATGTACCCTTGAATAGAGCCCTTATGGTCCTGAGCAGTGGGTATTTAGAGTATAATAGAGGTTATGGGGTGCTGCTAAGCTCGAAACTCTAGCCCAAACGCTGAACCCCAAACCCTGAACACTATACCTTGACGCCACTTCTGCAATCAACAAAGATTGTAATCGGGATCCCTTATGTTCAGTCGAAGAAGACATTATTATTCTGTTGCTAGTAATATTATAGTACCATTGTTGAATGGTGCTACTCTTGTTCTCGTTACTGCCGCTATACATTCCTTATAAGGCCTCCCGAACACTTCTGTACACAACAGGTAGTATGTCATAACGTACCACCATATACGGTACTATGCTATAGCACACTATACATCATATACTATAAGATACTATCATGGACCCTCTTATACTATATTATACTATACTATACGATGATACACTACGAACTATACATAAAACAACAGCACCAGTCTTGGAGGCGCCTCGGCAACCGCGCGGCAAAGCGCGTGCGAGAAACGGACCGGCAGGGGAAGCGCCAGTGCTTCACGGTTTTGGGTCGGTTTTCAATAGAACTACTAACTCGTGGTGCAAAAAGTAAAACTCATCATCGTACCTATAATAACACCCATAATTAATAACTCGATACACACTCATGGTGACCATGATAGAAGGTATCATAGCACCTGTAATAATACCAAGAATGGTGGCCAGGAGCCAGTGCTTTACTAACTAGTTAGGGTTTGGGTTCCACGCGTTTTGATCGAAAGATGTGCGGGCTTTGCTTTTTGCGGTGCGGGTTTTTCGGGTTCAGGGTGCTGAGGTGATCGGGATCATTGTCTTTAGCATCATCAACATCATCAGCATCATCATCATCATCGTCGTCATCATGATCAGTGTCATCATCATCATCATCCTCCGGATGATCTCATGACTGCTCGTCCGTACTATTCTTGGCATCGATGTTGCTGTTGGTTACGATACAGTTCTGAGTGCAGTCTCAGCTCTTGGCCGACTGTTCGGGTTCATGCAGCTGGGATAAGGCTTCAGAGCCCTGTCGGGTTCAATGCGTTCTTGATGTATTGCCTAGGCCCCCCAACTACCCTCAGATATACCCCAAATATCCACTATTGAGGGCCATAAGGGCTCTATTCAAGGGCCCTTGTCCTGGTGGGGTGGCGTGACGAGAGATGAGGTGTTATCTTCAGAGAAATTGCTTCTTCGCGGTCGATACAGATCCGTCCCAAAGATCCTTGACTTTTGTCGCTGGATTCCTTCCTTACCGCCTGCACCGATTAGTGCACGTGCAAACTCGGAGAGATTGAAGCTCTGATAGAGTAATATGTTGGCCTTAAAATATTTAACCGTACCCTTCGAAAGGAACCCTATTTTTGACTATTGAGGCCCCTAATAGTTAGAGAGAGATTTGCAGGATCCGTAGGCTAAACTAAGAACTTGTTGTCCATTTGCCACGTCTGCCGGAACTTCCGGAGTAAGCGCTGGCGGTGCCATGGAAGCTTGGGGAGACGTATTCTCCCAGCTTGCCAGAACGTGTTCTGCGCCCAGAGAACAGTTTCCTGAAACCCTAAAATCTAAATCCTAAGGTCCAAAACCCTACTTAAACCCTCAATCCTGAACCCTAAACTCTACTTATACCCTTAATCCTAAACCCTAAACCCTAAACCCTAATTCAGCATTCAGCTCTAAACCCTTAACCCGAAAGAAGCTCAGCTTTCCGAAGTGGCTAAGCTGGAAGTGCTCCGAGGTCGCATTGCCGTTGACTTGTTGACCGGAAATCTGAGCTGCTGCGAGGCCATGATACTTTGAGATACTCGTGTACAGCTACTGTCACATACGTGAGTCTACTATATGTTATGACCTGACCATGTCGTTCGAAAACAAGATTGTAGGAAGATTGAAGAATTACAATATTAGGTACGATACCATTGAAGTACTACAATATACTAAGATCATATCTGACACCTCGGAAACTTGTGTCTTGCATCCTCTGACAGGCCACCACGGTCGTCGAAGAAGAGGTGGGACTCCTCACACTTTGCCATTTCTCATTGTGCTGTGAGTGTTTACAGTACATGGCGTTAGACTTGAGGTCACTGTCAGTTTGAAGAACAGAGAGGACCAGAACGAGGAAGAGACAGCCGAGCGTGCTGCGCCAGGGCCACATTTGCAAGATCCACAGACTCACGCGTATCAAGCTCTGTGGAAGCGATGTGAGATGCGAGGCTGGGTCCTGATGCCGTTCTGTGCACGCCAAGAAAGGCAACTGACCCCACCAGGCCCGGTGTGCGTTTGCGCACGCACTTTGCGAGACCCGATCTTGAGGGAAGAGCTGCAGGATGATGCTATTATTGGGCCCTGAACAATTACCTATACTATTTTGGTGGGTTCCATATTATAATTATGGTATAACATACCTTAGAAGGGGCCCCCACCCTGTAATAGTGGTATAATAGGAATATAATAGGGCCCCAATATAATCTTTAAAGTCATTATTACAGGGTGGGGGCAGCTTCTAAATCATACCCCATAACCTTATTCGCAGGATGATGCTAACACCATCGACTGTGTGCTCGGACAAAGAGGAGGAGGAGGCCTGGTTAATGTAGGGGTGGTTGTGAAATTATGGTCCCTTTTTGGGCCCCTAATATAGTACCGGCACTTAATATTTAGGGTACCCAATAGGGGACCATAATTTTGACAGCCACTCATAGGGGAGGTATTAATTGCCTATGCTATCTTGGGGGTTCCTTATTTTCACTATGGGTTTTATGGGCCCTCAAACCCTATGCTTATTATTGAGGCCCCTACATAGGCCTGGTCATGTCTGGAGTATTTTGGAGCGAAGAGCCCATACTTTTTGCTCTAATAGTTTGATGTTGTCTTACGGCGTGCGCTTTCTCGTCTTGGAGACGCGGTCAGGCTCATGTTCTGTTCATGCCCTTTCTACTTTATAGCTTTCGTCCGATCTGCTATACACTGTGCTGGTATTTGGAGAATAAGTGCTAAACTTTACGCCCTATAAACCCTAAATCGCTAAACGCCCAAGTCCCGAAACCAAGCCTCACCAAGCCAGTTCAGGCAGAAGCTGCGATGTTCAAGAGCCAGGGCGCGCCTGGTCTCAACGACCTCCCTCCGGAGTGGCTGGGATGATACATGAACTTTAGGGAGCAAAATAGGGTTCTTTTCAGGGTTCGCTTAAAAGGGTTTCTGTAGGGCTTGCTTCAGGGTTCCTTTGAGGCAAGGGCTCTTTTACTGGATTTCTCTAAGGCTTACTCTACGGCTTCCCAAAAGGTAAGGGTTTCCCTACGGCTTACTTTTAGGTTTGGGTCTTGTATCGTCAGAACAGGGCTCTGGGGTACGTAGTATAGATATATTCAGGAACCCACAGGAACAGGAACAATCTTTCCCCTCCCCGCCCTCGTTTTGACAGCTCAGGCTCACCAGGAACATGGCAGGTTTTCTCCACGCATCTCGGATCATCTCGAGAGGGAAATTGCAGCTTTATGGCGGCTTCGCCAGTGGTCTGTCCTGTGTTTGCTTTCCAGTGCTGCCTGAGGTTACTGGTTACTTATCCCTCCGCGCCGTCTCCCGCGACGAATCTTCGAAGAAGGCGGGTCGCTCGAAAGTCAGATTATTGTTATTGCCATGAGTTTTACAACATGCTACAACCGCTACTTCAATCAGCTGCTATACATAGTGCCCTAAACCATTAACCCTTAAACCCTGAAACCGTTAAGCCCGAAACCCCAAACCTCTAATCATACTCTGGCTACCGTGCTGAGGCACTTGGAGACGACATCGATGAAAGAAGGCCTGGAAACCCCTCAGCTCTGCAACCCTATCCCGCTAACCCGAAAATCCATCAGCACCGAAACCCTAAAACCCTAAGCCCGAAACGCCTAAACCCCTAAACCCTAACTAAAACCTGAAGCCCCAGTTAATAAAAGCCTGAAAACCCTTGAACTCGTAAGCCCTAAGGAGCCCCAAGAAACCTTGAACCCTTAAGCCCTAAGAAGCCCTAAGAGACCCTGAGCCCAAAGCTCTCTTCTTAGGGGCACTTAGAATTTTTTTAAAAGTTGTGGTTATTATAATCCCTAAGAAACAGCTAAACTTATAATGTTTGCTAGGGTTCTAAGTTCGGTATCGTACCTATTGTCTCCATTGTAGTTTCTTTTTGGGGCTCCCCTTTAGGATCCCTAATATAGAATTGGTTAAGCCAAAAAAGAAACTACAATGGAGACTATAGGTAAGTTGCAGGCTGAACTGGGAAGTGCTGAACCCAGAGCATGGCGCTGCCGTCTACAAGCGGAACTTCAGCCTCGCTAGCTGGGCTGCAAAGGTTGGGGTTCAGGGGGTTATGAAGGGGTTTAGGGAGTTTAGGGTTTAGGGTTTAGGGTTCAGGGGGTAATGAAGGGGTTTAGGGAGTTTAAGGGGTTTAGGGTTTAATTTGGTGGTGTTAGGGGGTTTCGGGCTAAGGCAAGGGGTTTAGGGCATTAGGGGTCTAGGGCTTTAAGGGGTGTAGGGTTTTACAGGTTTAACGTATTGGGGGTTCAGGGTTCAGTGCGTTTAGGAGTTTAGAAGTTAGAAGTTACGGTGGACAGTCTCAGGGTTCAGCTTGGAGTCTTGTCAAGGGTGTTCAGGATTTCAGGAAACGCGTGTGCATAACAGGGGGTACATATCAGATCACTCCTTCTGTTCACTTCCAAACTACCCCTAAACCCCAAACCCCAAACCCTCAAACCCTCAAGCCCTTGAACCCTAAAGCCCATGTTACACCCTACCCAGGTTGGCAGCATGTACACCTTGAAGATGAAGGGGTCCATCCTGCACGGCTGGCCAGAGTTCGAGCTCAGAAAGGCCGAACCGAAGGGTTCAGGGAGTTTGGGAGTTTGGGGGGTTCAGGGGTCTAGGTCTGGGGGGGTTCTGTTAAAGGTTCCCTTAAGTGTTTAGGGGTCTATACGGGTTTAAGGGGTTTTGGGTTAAGGAGTTCAGGGGTTTTAGCGGTTTAGGTTTAGGGTATATATAGGGCGACGGAGTTTAAGGGTTACATGTCCCAGGAGTTCAGCTTTTGTGAGGCCTCAGAGACCGTCGAACGACGGACGCTGCCTTTGCTGCGGCAGCGTTTGCTGCATCGCCGCTGCCGGCTGAAGATGGTTCAAAGCAGCGCGGGGTGAAAATGCAGTGGCCCTTTCGGAGTGTTTGCAGTTGCAATACTTGAATTCATACTTGGGTCATGTGTTAAGGCGTGCCGCGCGCCAAAAGGCGTAACATAATCAGCGTGCACATGGGGAACCGATTCTAACAGTGGTTTCCCTTAAGCTGCACTTCGTCATGAAAAGCTGCATCGAATGCGCGTGTACATGGTGATTGCTTGTACCAGCATCTGGGGTTTGAAGCGTTAGCGCACGGAAATGTTGAGCTTGATTGGGCAGTTTTCCTGGGCGTGGGGCTTCGCGGGAGCGTGTGCACGGGGACTCAGGGCACTTAAAGTCCCTATGGCCCTATGGTAAAGCAACCCCCGCAAAGTGTATGTGCCCGCCCTAAACCTCCAACTATTGGCCTTGCCCAGTACCACAGGAACATGCAGGCACGCACAGTTTTTTAATGTTTCTGGATGTTTGCATTTTCCACGCGTGGACTTGGGGATTGGCTTGCATTGTTGTGACTTCTTGGCACTTGACGTGCCTTCTTTTTTGCAGCGTGTCAACGCGGTGTTGTGCCTTTTCCCTGGCGTGCCTTAAAACGCCGCCCAAGTACCAATGCTACCAATATCTAGTAACCTATATATAGCTAACAGTGATGGCGGTAGTCAGACAAACAACAACCATCAGATAAACAAGAATCATGAGAGTATTATCTATTGGAACAGAGCTTTTTGTCACGATAGGAACAGTAACAAGCAACTGCAATAGTAACACGAATGAATAGCAACAGTAGTGACCATAATGACAATAATGTCCGTAATAATGGTAACGAAAGGACCAGAACAAGCAAGACGAACCGTAAAAGACAGGAGAAAAAGACACATCTAATTTAAAAGAAAGGACCATAAATACTCTATAGCTCCACTTATAGCACCCCCATAACGACGAATAAGTCGAACCGCTCCCTTCCTGCCGCAGCCGCTGCAACAGTCGGCCCGGACCTCGCGGTTCATTGCAGTACAGAGCAGGGAAAGAATCGAATCTAGGGGCCTAAATTATTGCCAATACTATTTTGGGGGTTCCTTATTCTAATTAAGGCCCCTATAGTAACCTTTTCAATACGTGAAGTTTTTGAGTTTAGGAATGATTTAATAGTACTTAGGGTTCCCAAGTAAGTACAGAGCATGAGCATCCATGAGGACCAGGACAGGGCCTTGTGTGTGCTTGACAAATGCTGCTACTCAGAAGACCGACCCACAAACTCAGAACTGAGGTTTGGCTGTGTTCCCGGCATCTTTAATAGTTTCAGTATCTGTTCATGGATGTGTATATCGTATATCTCTGTATGTTTGCTTGCATATGTCGGTTAATATTCGTAGCAAAGCTTGCCAGGTAGCTTCTGAGTCTCTACGGTTCAGAACCTTAAACTCACATATCCACCGTCTCAAACTTCTGACCTTCCACACAGCTTGGTGTCTCTCTTGTGCTGCTCACCATGGCTGCGATCTTGGCACGGAGGCGAGGCTTGCGAGAGTCCGATGAAAACTGCCAGGACTGTTTTTTTTGGACTGCTGCCCAGTAAAGGCGTGCCCTTTCGATACACTTCCAAAATATCTTTGACAGATCACATAATATGGCAGGCTCAATGAGTACTGGTATTTTATTGGGGGGATTGTTACTATGTAGTTACTAACATAGCATATCCCGAAACCCTCTTCTAATGATTCAGGCCCCTAGATTACAATGCTGCGAATGTTGCGTCATCAGTCGTAGAATAAACTTGAGGATCTTTGCTTGTTCTGCTCCAACTTCCCTCCAGACTCAAAATATTATGTGTAATTGTAAGCGTCGGAATTAGTAAGTAGTATTGTTTGTTTGTTACACATTATTACCCTCAACCCGAAACCCCAAACCCTAAACCCCTAAACCCTAGACCCAAAACCTTCAACCTAACACTGTATTCGTTACCGTTGGTATTATTGTTACTCCTGTTGCTACGGTTGATGATATAAATCCTGCATGACCCATAATAAGGAATATACCATAATTCCCATAGTTTCGGGTCCTTAAGGTAATGCAGGATTGATATCATCAACAGTGTGGGAAGTTTTTGTCAAGGCATGCCTTTCGATCTCCGACTTGCGGCTCTGATTGTGTTGTGGTTAGGTTCGGGGTTTAGGGTTCAGGGTTTGGGGGTTTGGGTTCAGAGTTTCAGGTTTAGGGTTTGGGGTTCAGGGTTTAGAGTTTTTGGTTCAGGGGTGCACTTCGCTGACTTTGGAGGAACTTGGGAATAAGAGTTGAAATGTAGCCGAAAACTTCACCAGCACCCCCCCCCAACTGCCCTCTGTTAAACCCAAAGTAGCCACTTTTAAAGGATCATAAGGGCTCTAGCAAAACGTACTTGGGTGCTGGAAAGCTTCAAAGCTCAAAACCCTTTGCCCGTCTATGCCACAAGGCCCTAAATCACTAGACCCGAAAACGTTGGTCCCGGGATATTCGGACGCTCTCAGAAGTCCTGAACATGCCAGGCCCGCTGTGACTGCTGGCTGCGTAGGTGGGGCAGCTTTGTTTGCTCATTGGGTGCGGGCTTCAGGGTTCAGGGTTTACGGGTTTACGCTTCAGGGTTTAGGCTTTTAGAGTTTCGGGTTTTGGGGTTTCGGGTGCAGAGTTCGGGGCTCAGGGTTTAGGGAAGTTCCCGGTTTACTGGCGGTAGTCGGTCTTGCGCCAGATGCAGGCAGGTGCTGGTGGCCCCAAGCCCCAACTATGACCGCAACGTAGTGGTGGACGAGAATAGGCGATGCTTGTAGATAATATAAGATCGGGGCCTCAAACATTACCTGTTCTATACTATTGCGGTGGTTCCTTATTACAACTATAGTATAATGGAGCCCCGAACCCTGTTTTATTCATTTTTAAAGACCCTCGACTAGCCTTGTCTTATCTATTGCTGAGCGGCTTCATGGCAGCGAGAGACGGGCCGCCGCTTTCCGAAGCCTTGCAATCAGGATGTTATACAATTTAGGGTACTCCATTAGGGTCCCCTATTTTCGGAAACTCCCAGGTGTCGCAGCAGGGACGTTGGGAACATGGCCGCAGCCCGAGTCCGTCACGTTGGTCACGGTGACGGTCCTGGTGATGATGACTATCGCCACTAGGGGCAATCCATGTTGCAGTTGAAACCTTGTGTGATTCTTTATGCAGGTTTTTGCTAGCGGTAGCCAGCTTGTTTCAGGACTCTGAGCCAGGTTTCAGGTTTGGGGAGTGTTTTCGTCGGTCGTCCAGCCGAAACGCGGTAGCGCAGCTTCTTACGTGAACATTTCAGACAATTAAGGAACCTAAACTCGACTGCAAAATACTCCCAAAACTGCGATAGCGCTATGCCTATACGGGAACTCCTGATGAAGGAACCTTTAGACCTCAATCCTGAAGAGTTTCTTTTACACCCTCCGGAACATGACATGACGCACCTTCGTGTCTAAGGCTTGAGCCGAAAATCACCCACCCACAGGGGTCTGATACCGTTAAACCCGAAACTCTACACTTTCAAAAGCCCTTCAGTCGCAAGGCTTCGCAGCCTTGCAGGGCCCGAAGTCCGTGGCTTCACAAGACCCCGAGCCGTCATCCCGAGTTGCATCTTGATTTCTACACCGTCCTTCATCATCTGCCCCGTTGGCTGCCGGCTCTAGCTGGGCTGCGATCGTTGTGATTGCGGTTTAGGGTTTCGGGGTTTAGGGTTTAGGGTTGCGAATTTCCTCTTATTCGGATGATGCTCGCCTTAGCAACAAACAGTGCCGTGAGTCAAAACTGTTCATGCACTTTGGAGCATCGAGACACCTGGTTGCCGCGGAGTACACTGTTGCTCTAACTTCTGGCACCACGACTTTGGTCAAACGTCCTAAAAATGGGACTAAACCCTGAAGCTCAAACCCTACCCCCTAAACTATTTACCAAAGCCCTAACCCTTCAAGTGTAAACCCTACACTCCAACACCTACTATTTGTAATACACCCCTTCTCGATGAGGTTCGAAATGAGCCATGGGGTGTTCTGCATCCCAGTGCTCACCTTGCCACCGATGGCTTTGAGCCACCAGGTGGTGTGGAAGGGAAGAGAGGGTTTAGAGTCCGGGTGGTGCATGCAAAGTTTGGGTTTCGCGCTCTGCCGTCATGGTTCTCATCCTTGCTATCCTCAGCCAGTAGCATCACCACCCCTTCGCCTTTACAGTTTTATTGAAAACTGCACCCCACAGAGAACAATGAGGAGTTTTCTGAGCTTCGCAAGAAGGACAGAATCATTTAGGCTCAGAGTTTCACTGGTTTTTGCGAGGTCCTAGGTTGCTTCCTGGAGGTGCCTAGCGGTGCAGGGTTTTGTCAGTGACAATATATGAGTGGTGCAGACTAGACTGACTTGTGGGCTCATGGCGGCAACTCCTTTAAGCATGAAACACAGCTGTCTCTGTGTGTGTGTGTGTGCGTTATAGAGGTTACTGTAGCAATCAGAGAATGCCACAATGGATGTCGCAGCCAATCTTAAACGACAGATTCAGATAGAGCTACAACAGGCATAAACCCGAAAAGCCCAACAACTCTAAAGCTCTAGAGCCCTTATCCCGAAAGCGTAGCTCGCTTCACAAAGCTTTCAGGATTCACAGTCGCTGAAGAACCCGGAAGACAGGACCAGACCTGCAGCAACAAAACATATATAAAGCCTGCCGCCAGCCACCAAAAGCTCTGCTAAAGCACCCAAATCCGAAACGCTGAAGCCACAGAGGCCTGAACCCTTGCACCTTAAACCCCCTAATCCCCAGAATCCTAGCGTCTCTGAACGCTCGAGACCCCCGCCCAAACCCCAAACCTCCTAAGACCCTTTCAGAACCCCTAAACTCCTGTAAGAACGGAATGAAGCACCCTTATAGAATCGTTCGAAAAACTCTGAAACCCCAAACCCTATTTATAAAGCCTCCAAACCCTAAGCCGTGCACAGACGACCCCTGAAACACGGGATCTTCTGATGTTGCCATGGGCCGGGAAC